TTGAACCTCATTGGTCCGTTACTCGTGTTGTTATGAGTACTTATTTATATGTTGTTTATATGTTATTGTTATGTTTATTTATTTGTATTATTTATTATGTTGTCATGGGTGCAATGTGCAATGTGAGCGTAGAATGGAGTGAGATTATATGCATTTATACTACAAAACTCACTCAACTGGTTAATTATCACACAAAAAACCTGTATTTTTCTTGTAAAAATCGTGAATACCTTTGAAAAAAAAATTAACAAATAAATAAGAAGACTCCCGTGGTAGTAAACTAATAAGATGACAATCATAAAATCAGACAGTAAATGAAAATAGATTCGTTTCGTGCTCACTTCCCTATGGTATGGTGTAGTAAACATTTACAAGCAAGAAATGTATAGAAGACACTCAAATTGTATATCTGTGTGGATTAGGATGATTTCTAAACATTTAACGCTGTCAAGCATTCTTTACCTGTAGTTATACTTTCCCGTGTCACAGTCCTATGAATGTACTTGTGTTACAACCGTAGGAGGGGACAAATGTCAATTACTTATGGCAAAGTCACTTGACATCTCAACCTATGGCACAGTTTTCACGTTGTTCGTTGACATGTTGCTATTTACATGCTTTCTTTAAAAATATTCCTTCTATATGTACTTCTATATATGACTGAGATCTTGCTTGTTGTTTTAAAGAGTATTTCTTTACATAAGAAGCTGTTACCGTAATCGACGCTTTGGATCTAGGCCAAGGGCCATGGAATATTTCCGGTTTAGGATTCATATAATCCTAAACCCTCAATGTATGAAATAACATACTAACACAATTTTTCACGCTTTTCGAAAACGATATGTTGTTTTATAATTATTTTTCTATTTGTTTAGCAAGTTTTTATTTTTATTTTAGATGAGACTATTAGTCAAAAAAAGGATCATTCTCTTTTCCTCTTTTAGCGAATTTCCCATATAGGGAATAAGCTATTACCGTAGGTCTCATGGTAAGACCTAGACCCGGGACCGATTTACTTTTTTGTTTTGAGGTCCCCAGAGGCCAAAAACACCATCCGTTCAAATTCATATATATATATATATATTTATATATATATATATTTATATATGTGTCCGTTAGCGCGATAACTCGAGCAAAATTGATCCGATTTTGATGAAATTTGGTACAAACGTGTAAACCTACATTTATTCGAACGAGTTCGCGAACCAGCATAATCGGACCATGGGATCAGGGGTTTATGGGGGGTTTTATGTGGTAAAAATGGGTTTTTCTAATTTTTGACCCTAAAAACTTTAAATTTCTCTCTAGACCATTTTGAAGAGCTTAAAAAAACAAATAATTTAGTATATTGAAGTTTTTTTTAATGTTCATTGACTGCGGAGAAAATTTAAAAAAATTGTAAATTTAAAATTCCCATGTTATTCTTATGGAGAATAAATAAACTGTTCTAGTTTGCTTGTTTATGGATATATTTTAATTAAATTTGGCTTATTTCATACTAAGCTATCAATATTTCAATTGAAAAAACACACCTCAACATCTTCCCCGTAGCAGCAAATCTAACTACTCACTAAAATTAATGTTATTTAAATAGGAAATAAATCTGAAAATGTATAGGGAATATTTTAGTAGAAATCAAGCCGGGTAAATGGAAATTCGCTTAGTATGCAGGTTTGCTGCGACGGGGGTATTTAGATTTTAGCGTGCAAAATTGCTCATAAAGATTCCTAAAACGAACCGTTGAATTATTAAATCAACTATCAACATAAAGAATGTAACATTAGAAGTCTATTATTTTACACATGTATGTGTTTAATCTTCAATTTCAAGCCGACCTAATAATCCTGCATATTGTTGAAAAAAAAAATAGAATTTGATAAAATTAAATGGAATGAAATTAAATTAAATCGAAAAGAGTTGACATAAAAACAAATAAAAAGGCATTATATGAAAATAACTCTTTATTAAGATGACAATTATTTAATCACTTACTATAAAATACATTCAAGCGGTAAAATTTCTCCCAACCAATTACATGTGAATTACCTCATGATATGCATGGGGAGAACTTTTATCGAAGGCACTCGTGTACTCAAATTCTTACATGCACTGTATTTCAAAAGTGAGCCTTATAAAGTCACCTTGTCATTACTCGACCGGTTTTCAAAGCAATGGTTGTGATATATTCAGAACCAGTATACACAAAAATGCAAGACACTGTAAAGTTATGTAATCTAAAAAACACTGAAAGCAATCATAAAGTAACTAAGTTTAAAGTAAAAGTTCTGTTATCGCCAAGGTTAAGGGCAAACAGTGAGACGTTGCGGAGGTATGAGATAGTGGTAGTATTTCAGTCCCACAGCACGGGTGAACGCCCCACTATCTCTACCTTGCTGTCACCCGGTCATTTGTAATGAGCGGGTCCACTTTTACTTCTGGCGACATCGTGGTCGGAACAGCCCTTAACCCCAAAATGCGGGCAGTGACGTCACTGTCAGCTGTTAGCGTCACTAATGCATCAGTCAGACTGTGATACAACCATGTCAAGGACCTCTCTGTTGTCTGGTATGTCACCACATATAACATAATCATCCAGGTGAGAACTATCCTCATAATGTGACCCACTGTAATAACCTCAGAACACCCCCGTCGCAGCAAACCTGCAGACTAAGCGAATTTCCATTAGCCTGATAGGATTTACACTAAAATGCCCCCTTAAAAATATCATATTTATTCCCTATTTAAATAGAATTAGTTTAACGAGTACTAAGGTTTGCTGCAACAGGGAGGGTAAAAAGGTGTTTTTTTCATGTTAATAGTTTAGTAAGAAATTAATGTATTTTCCTAATTCGATCAAAATATGTTCATAAACAAGCAAACTACAACAGTTGACTTATTCTCCATAAGAATAACATGGGTATTTTAAATTTACAGTTTTTTGGAATTTTCTCCGTAACCATTAGGCGCACAATAACGCTTCAATATGCAAAATTATTTGTTTTTTTACGCTCTACAAAATGGTTTGAAAATAAATTGTAAAATTATGTGTTTTTAGGGTCAAAAATGGGAAAAACCTATTTTTACCCCATAAAAACCCCCATAAACCCCCGTTCCCATAGTCCGATCATGCTGGTTCGCGAGCTCGTTCGAATAAATGTAGATTTACATGTTTGTACCAAATTTCATCAAAATCGGATCATTTTTGCTCGAGTTATCGTGCTAACGGATGGTGTTTTTGGCCTCTAGGGATCTCAAAACGAAAAAATAAATCGGTCCCGGGTCCAGGTCTTACCATGAGTGCTACGGTATAGCTTATTCCCTATATGGGAAATTTGCTAAAATGCCGAATGTACTGTAACTAATACAACAGTCAGACTACGATATGACCATTGAATAAATAAACACCAAAGAAGGGGAGGCTCGGTCGATTACTGTGATGGTTATGTTTTGTCCTTCCACTTTTATATACTGTGCTACAACAATACTTATGAATAATTTATTTGAAGTTTATATATGGCGAAGGTTAGCTTTTATTTTGACCATTCATGATAGAGAATTTCCACAATATATTCTTGGTTTATTACTGAGTACTATACCTCAATACTAACAGGTATGAAGTTGTGAGCCTTTTAAGCTTTATAGTCCAGTCAATTAATGACAATTTTTCCCATCATCCCATTCAGCAAAGATTTTATTTTATTGATACAAAGCATTTTTTACACTCAAGAAAGGGGTGTAAGGCCCCGGGTACGATACGAGCGGCGAGCGGCGAGCGGTGAGCGGCGAGCGGCATGAGCGGCGCCGCTCTGACATCGGGTCTCTTTTAGTTGCGTGTAAATTTGTTGAGGGTGGCCACGATACGTCTGAGCGGCGAGCGGCGGTGAGCGGCACCGCTCAGCGCCGCTCATGGTTCCAAGTCAAAACCGATTTTCGCGAAAACGCCGCTCGCCGCTCAGGTGAGTCATGCTTCAGTTCGGCCTAAAATGACAGGGAAACAGCAGCAAACATGCGATACGGGTCGATACGTGTGGTGCAGTCCAGGGAATGTTTGTGCAATGATCATTACGGAAGTTTTAAAACACTTCAGTCGCCAGAAAAGTATGGGACCAAGTTAGGGTTAAGGTTTTTCAAAAAAACTAAGTTTTTCTTTAAAGGCAAACAATTGTCAAATAGCAACAATAGCTGCAATCATTCTTGCAGTGAAGCATAGTTTAACATTTTCGACTAAACTGACTTATAAAACTAAGGAAATTTGATGAGCGTTATAAATGTGCCGCTTGTATCGTAGCCACCACCGCCGCTTACGTGCCGCTCAGGTTGCCGCTCGCCGCTTGCCGCTCACCGCTCGCCGCTCGTATCGTACCCGAGGCCTTACCCTCCTCCCTCTGGCTCTAGTAAAAAAACTACCCTTGGTTTAGGGTACGGTGCAGTACTTTAACATCGGACTTTCTTATCTAAATGCAACATGTTATAACAAAACTTGATGGTTTTTTGGACTACCAACCCAAATTAAATTCTAAGTTATTCGTAGTATTTTAGTATGTGGGGAGCGAGCTGGTGTAGTGGTTAGAGCGCGGGATTTCAGTCCCTGAGGTCCCGGGTTCGATCCCCGCCAAGTCACCAATGGATTTGATCTAAGTGATGATGCCGCAAACCCTAGGTCTAGCCTGAAGTAATGTGAAAAACAATTCCAGGCTCGTGCCTATTGTCCTAGGACATTAAAAAAAAGTATTTTAGTATGAAACCCAGTAAGTTACCTAAACCTAGGAAGCAAGCGTGACTAAACAGCAAATTACACCTAGTACCGCAACAATTCATCACGATTATATTCTGCAGCCCACCGTTAGGTGTGATAGCAGTACTGTACCTGATCAGATGGACAGGAAGCATTGTTTGGTAGGCTGGGTAGTGCAGTATAGCGTGACCCCCTACCTTGCCCCCCTCGCCCCCCCACGGCACGGTGAGTGAGCGGTGAGCGGCAAGGTGGGACCGTCACATCAGTACACCAGTCCGCCAGCCGCGATGCGATGTGGAGTACAGACTAGTGACTAGTGAAGTGCCTGTGCCAAGTGTAGTGATTCAAGATGGTTTAGTGATCAGTGTAAGTTTTGTGTTGTGATGGTTGTTTTGTTGCACTCTCCCATTGTGATGCCTGAGGAAACTCGGTGGTTTTGAATGTATATCCTTCATTATTTTGTTTTCTTATGAGAATATTTCTAGTGTTTACATTACTTTTAATCAGTTTTTGGATTTTGATTGATTGTATGATTGAATTAAGTTGGAAATTTATTTCTTTTTAATTGGTTCGTTTTGGCCCACATTTTATTTGGCATCTATACTTTTGACGTTTGGCCACATGTGCTATGTTTTGCATCTCCCTTAGCATACATTAGATTTCCCGTAGTGTTACCAAATCATTCCGTACTTTTCTCCATGATAACCTGCTCCGAATAAAATCTACGCTGGTTTGGTTCCTATTGAATGTTTTGTTTTGTAAAGCTTTTATTCATATGTTTACGGCATTTCCAACCAATTGTGGTATGTTGCAGTTTTATAAAATAGTCAATCAATTTAATTTTATCTTCTTGATTTAACCCAACTCAGTTCTTAAGGATTTAAAACCCCTTACCGTGTTGACGTTTACATCTATTATTATCAATCTCCCGTAGTTTACTCAACATTTCCCGGTTTCCCTCCTTTTCCCCGCGATATCCCGCTATCACACCTGGTGTTCGCGCCATATCTGCGCCGTGGCCAGTTAACCGGTTCCAACTGGTTTGTCCACAACAAGTTTTAAGCCCGTGTCTGATCCTAGTCCTGTACTTTTCCTCTAAAGTCGTCGAGATGAAGCATATCATTAATAAAATTGATTCATGTTTGCCTTTCAATTATCATTGGGCCTGTTAGTAATTTCTTCATTACTTCATGGGAACTTGTTATCAGTCGTATGTTCAGAAATGTCCACTTAAACCAGTTTCTGTGTTGGCAATGTTGAATGGTGTTATGGGTAAACACAAGATAGTCTTATTTGCAGCCTAGGTCAATGGTGGTAGAGCGTAGACTGATGTCTACGTAATTTGATCAGCACCTAGAGTATTCTTTTTATTTAATAATAGATGAGCAATACTATTACTTAATCTCTTCCTTCATCCTTTTACAGAAATCAATTTTGAATTTTAATTGTTATTAATTGTAAGAAACGGCAGTGTGACTCTAGCTGTGTCTGAAGAAATAAAATAATTGTTATTTAATTTAGTTCCTTTTAAAAGGGAATTTTTTACATACATTATTTTCATCAAACTGATAATACATTTGGAAGGAAGTCGTTTAAATGTAACACATGTTCATTTGAAAGACTGTTTCATCAATCTTAAACTCACTAAACAAATACAGTTTTTGAAAAAATCTCACAAAGAACGTTTTTTTTTCCAAATTATGTGCCTTATTGATACAAGTACAACTCTCTTAGCTTTAAAATAGATATGAGTTCAAAATGTAATCCTGTTTAACCCCCAGTTTTAAATATGCACACCACTCCCAGAACCCTTTTACGATTGGTTCTTACTGATAAAAGAAGAATCTATTTCAACCCTAAAAAAGGGCGTGGATCACAATAACTAACACCCTGTCCAAAAGCCCGCCATCGATCAGTATATTGGAGGGAACTAGGTTACGGTGCAAACAGTGTAAATCCAAGTTGATTAATGGAAACGGTCCGCATGCAAGACTAATAAAAATGCTGTTGGTAGAAACACGCAACTTGACACGTGGCAAGAATTTGGAGTACCTCAGGGCAGTGTTTTTGGGCCACACTTCTTTTGATGCCCCATCTGGATTTGGTTAAATCAGTAAAAATAAATATATATTTTTTATGTGTTTATCAGACTTATTGGAGCACCTCAAGGCCTTAGGGCCACGCTACTTATTCAGATTAGTTGTACTTTCCAATAAAACCATTGAATCAATTAAATAACAATTTCAAAGTTTACAAGTATTGTTGCAGCTTGACTGCAAATTCTATTCATAACTCCCAGAATCGGCTTTCCAAAAGAACATTTAAACTATAGAGAACTAATTGCCCTTTATAACAACCTGATTCCGGTGAAGTTCCTGTACTACAAACTTTCGCCTTAATTGGTGACCGAGATGTTAAACTCCCTGGAAACACTGATGGCAACCCTGTTCACATCACATTGAATTGCTATTTGTAGCCGTCTACCATGTCACATGTTGCGTAACGGATCAGCTGTTAATCTAAACAGCTGACTGGACATGTCAATCTCAGCTGACGACGGTTGATGGCTATGTAGGTCATTAATTGGCCCTTTAAGCAGTAAAAGTAGACCATTATCACAACTAGACGAAGTATAGAGTTGTTATGCTTATCTTATTGTTGTTATGGTAAGAGGGAGGAGTTTTTGATCATACGGACTCACTCTTAAGTTTATTTCAGATGTTCTCTAAGCGGGTTGATTATCGAAAGATTGATTCGTGTAAAAACAATTTCCACCCTAATGGGTCCGGAACCGACATTTACTAGTATGTTCAGATGTTTTTCAATTTTTATGATAAATTTGGTTCTTCTTCGGGTTACCACTAGTTTTAGTTTTTCGTTACTTTCATCAGGGTTTTGTCTACTGTCCTGGGTTTCAAAAAAGTGCTTTTGAGGCATTAAACTGTCCCGGATTTGAAAGAAACAAACTTAAATCCTTGATCAAACATTTAACTGCAATTGAATAACAATAGTAGCAATAAATTGATCAATATAAATTAATATGGTTAGTGTGTATACATTGTGTAGTGATAGGGTTTGGTTTGTATATTATGCATTAGTCAAATCAGCTGTTTCAAAGACACAGATCAAGTCATCGGCCGCTGCATGGAGGGAGTGGTGACGCGACCTTCACTCTATTACCTCTTGTTAACACACCTAATTGTTTGCTATTTCACAACCATCCTACTACCATTACACCACGACAAACTCTTCCTCATTCAAACAAGGTGCCATTTTATGTTCGTGTTCCACAAAGGTGTAGCGCACTAAACTGAGATTACGGAGTGAAAGAGCTTTATTTAAATTTTCTTCTCTAAATTAAATTATGACAATGCATAACTATCAGGAACTGAGGTGGTATTTCTTTAACAATCCAAATTAGAGTAGTTAATGTATATTATTTTCAACAAACAAATAAATTTTGCTTTAAGTGATTTTTCGTTCGAGTAACAATTTTAATCAGTTCAAAAACTTCAATGTCAACTACTTCTCTTCACTTATGAATTTTGAAAATAATTGGAATGGTTTTACCAAGCCTCTTTTAGTATGTTTAAATAGGCTGTGTTTCTTTTCCAGTAAATTCTAGTACCTAAAATAACTCTATATATAAATTCAAATTAACAAACTAACGTAAAAGCCTCAGCAACAAACAAAAGATACCTGGTCAAATTTACAAAAGTATATTAGTAACGATTCCTAACCTTGGGTAAGAGTGCAGCAAACTAACTACGACTTTCTATCAGTGTTGTGAGTGAGTGAGAGAAAGGATGTTCTGAAGACAAGGGTGGACCATCATGAGCGAGGGACCATGGCGGAGCCCCAAAAGAGTAAAACCCTCTACTCCTCAGCTGTAGCGGCTCTTGGCTTCGTCTCGTTTATATTGGCTGCAGCTGCTGTCGCCTTGCCGCTTTGGGGCTACTACGAGAGCACATCAGGTTAGTGTACAAGTCATAAAAATGCTGGTATAGAACGCGGGGCTTCTGTCCTAGAGGCATAACATTAAATAACCAACAGCTTTCTTTACCTATTTAATAATTATCTTTATATTAATAGGCAAGCATGTTTCTTTAAAACCTTTTTTCTCAGCTCGCGCTTATCGTAGGGAAAATCTACGCATACCGTTAGAAAGATATTTTCCTGTAGATGTGCAGAATCCCTTTAAAAATTAAAATAGGCTCAAATATAAGCACAAAAAATGAATTTGAAATAACAAAATAATTAACACGGACTTCATGGGTTGCCATGCTGGTGACGAAATAAACGAAATATAAACAGAAAATCAAAACAAATGGAACAAATTACAATCACATGTTTTATTTACAGTGTGGGTTGAAAATAAAGGAGTCTGGACCTTTGACCATGGATAAAACATACTCCTTTGACTTACATCCCCATTTTAAAGTTTTAGCCAGTTTTTAAATTAATTTTGTCGTCGTTGATGTGAGCCACCAACAGATTGCGCTGATCTAAATGACTAACTTCTGTCGAATACAGGGTGTTTTTTACTAAATCAAACTTATGGAATGACTTATTATTATGACAAAATAAGGTAGAAAATATGATTTTAGACACACATTCTGTGACTGGCTCACACAACTACATGTTCTTTTTTTTATAAAAAAAATGGCAAGAGCTGGTCCACATAGATGGAATGTCTACTTCAGTATCCAATAGTCAATGCGTGTACGTACATTAAATATTATTGGTCGAATTTTCGACTACTGGGCGACCTCTAGTTTTCATTAAACAAGGTAACGCTATTTTTTATCGGATAAAGAAAATAAGTTAATACAAATGTGAAATATTTTGCATATGCCGCGTTATTAGTAAGAAAAAAAATTGTCGGCTTGCCTCAAAAATGGACTGTCCATTATGAGTACACTCGCAAGCTAGAGGAGGTTTATTCTCTATAGCAGCTACTCAGTTACTGTACTATTTGCACACCACTGCATTTGTCCTAATCGGGTTTATCAATAAGGAGAGATTAGAGATACTATAGCTGTAGGATTTTTAAATGTATTCCGAAAGAATTCCAATGTTTGAACTACGTGCCGGCCAGGTTAATTATCTGCTTATGTGTACGATTTCAGCTCACTGTAATTGGTTGAGTAGTATTTTTTTTTAGTTTAACTACCACAAACAAAAACAGTATTCAAATAGTCAGACACAACCTTTCCTAAAACAAGCTAGGATCCAAATAGCTTCATATCAAAATTAAAGCTGACGTAACTGTAGGAGCCTTAGGAAAGATACTCTAGAAAGTTATGAAGATTGAGCAGTCTTCTAGACGTAACTTTCACTGGGCTGACCTCATCATCTCATCCATATGTGTAAAACCGGTAAAACCCGGTACTAAAAGATCAATGAACGAATTTTGTAAGATGACTGATTATGCATTGCAGAATAACCAGATTACTTCGATAAAATGCTTAGGGGCGGTTCACGAGTCGCGAGTTATCCTGAGTTCGAGCGCAAAATCCAGTTTTGCTATTTCTAAAACCACCTCCTAGGCCTATCTTAAAAAAAGAATAGGTCTCACAGAGTCTCAGGCGGGGAAAACTTGCATTATAGGACAACTCTTCACACTAAAGCCATGCGATAATTTTAATAGCAGCACCAGATGCGAGTTCGCAGTAGTTACGAAAACGGCCAAGATAAGCATCTGGACAAACAGAGCTTCCAGTCTTCATTCACAAACAGCACCAACTGCCAGCTGACTCATCTCTAGTCACTTGCCTCGTATTCTAGTCTTACCCTTTCAATCGTATAAAGTTATTTTGGTCTCATATTACTAATTTCTGATCATTTTCATCGTGAATCCGAGTTAAAACTAATTGTATTTGTAAAACTAATGACAAATTTTGGAGGCATTTATTTAGTACGGCAGTGATGTTCAGCGAGATTTGAATCTGTGCATCGAGACACTCTAGACCACTGGTTCCACGCTCTAACCCAAACCGTATGTGCCCCTTTGAAAATGATTGACTTAAAATGTATTTTTTAATTGGAAAATAGAAATACTTTTAATAACTGAGTAGGTTCGACGTCACCGATACATCGACTTCCACATATAAGATTTTAATTAGTTAAAATTACAAAATATTCCAAGTTGCCTAACCTAACCTAAACCGTTGTCCACCCTTATAATTATTGGGTGTGGTTGTCACTCGGTATGATACCAAAGTACCGTAAGTTCGTTAGTATTCAAGATAAATAAATTTAAATATGTAAATATTTATTTAAATATTTATTTGTATTTATTGTATTTATTGTTATTTATTTGTATTTAAATATTTATTTATTTGAACGGTGTTAACTAACGGTGTGGTCTATTGTTGGGCTGTCACATTTAAACATCTGAAGCTACTTTGTGTTTTATTTATTCCGCTTCTACAGCGCCGCTTACGATTTGTTTCTCCTCGTCTTGAATCTTGTAAACTAGCAAACCCAATTTAAATATGTTGTAATCTTGTTTGACCTTATCCATTCCAAATCCATCTTTATATAAAACATTCGCGATAACAGGGGTTTCTACAGAAGGAAGGGTTTTACCCCACACATTTTCTGAACACGTAACGTGAAACATTGTTTTCTTCAGAACTTTCTATCAGGTTGGGAAAACATTTGGTCTCTACAATGTACACACGTGGATGCCCCGAATGCACCGACCATGACGACTGGTAGACCGTGAAGTCACAAAACGCAGTCATTTTATACGCACTCAACGCATCCGCAGTACATTGTACTGCACTCTATTTCAAGTATATGGCTTTCAAAGATTTACTCAAAAAGTGTTAAATTCTTTAATAACATAATTACGACACTAATACAGTGATACGATCAATGCTCTTTAACTTTGAGTACGTATTTCGAGCTGACTATGCTGAATGAGTGTTGAATGGATGTCCTGTGTAGCTGTATTACCGACTGAGATCAGCTGATTATTTGTTTAGGATAATTTATTTTAAACCCAATGGCCAAAATACGGACGGGTCCTTCAACATTGGGATTTGATTATTATGGCGTTTTATCAACTGAAAATTTGGGGGATCTTCTTTACTTACAATACATCAAAAGTGTGTTGTTCTTTCTTCAAAATACTAGCCTACTGAAGCTTCACTCAAATCATGATCCAGGCTATATAGTAAAAAAACCGCCTCCTAAGGCACCAAAGTTTCGAGAGTTATTGGGAGTAAATTAATTTGGTGTTCATAGCAATAAAAGAAATATACGGTTACTATTTTATTGTATTGTAAAATATGTATACAATAAAATAAACATTCCGCGTTGTTTTGATTTTCTTCCCAAGCTGATTGAGTACATTTGACAGTTGAGTTTTCGTTCTTTAATAAATTCTTGACACTGACTAATTGCAGTAGATTTATTAAACTGCATCATTTTAACGTCCTCGCCCCATTGCTAAGCACGAGTATCATTACAGTTCGCCTTCGTACTGTACCAGCTCACCACTTGCTATGCTGGATACGTTCCACGCACGGGTAGTTGGTCTGTGTGGATGGGCAAATGCATGGTGGGGCCACCAACCTCTTTTAAATAAATAAATAAAACCACTAGTAGTCCACTTCATTATTTTTCTTGATTGATTAAAAAAAGGATCAGTTTTGAATAAAATCTGGTGAAGTGTTCCCGCTAGAAAGTTGTGATGCAGATGCAGTTATGATCGTGAGGTCTGCACGTCTGCACTCTGCAGGAGGCGAGAGGCATGTCTTGCCGCCATTTCACGGGACCTGGCGTCCTTGGCAGCCATATTGATAGTGACGCGAAAATCCAGCGCCCATTCTCTACTTCTTCTCTCCAGCACACTTCATCAGCAGCAGACCAGACTAGGCACGCGCCTTTGTTTATAGTGGCATTCATTCGGAGTCAATCAACTTTCTCTCATTTTAGCTTTACATGGCCTTTCGATTAGCGATGGTCGATCTAGTACAGGAAATTCTAAGGGTGGTGATATAATGATCGTATGACTTTTGCTTGAGAAATTTTACCGACTGCATGAGGTTGTTTTACCTGAGAGATATAGCTATTTACAGTTGTTGCTTTCTAGTAAGATGGGTCACTGGTTCACGGCTTTAGCTTAAAGTGTTAACTATAAGTGAGGTGGTTTGCTTAGCCTGAACTAGAGCTTCTTTGACACAAATAGCTTATGGACCACTATAATATCCCACGTTCACATAGATATGACAAAGTTACAAGACAATTATTGTCTGCTACTTAAATTAAATACAGTTAACGTGCTTAAGATACCACTTTTTTCCCATGGAAAGATAATATATTGTATCTACGTTAGCCATTGAAAGCCATTGTTATAACTACTGTCCTCAATCATCACGTACTTTTAAAATTCTTTCAAAATTCTTATATATCATTTTACAAATCGTTGATTTTCTTGTAAAATGTAGAAACTTTCTAAAACACGATAAACAATACTCACTCACACACGTAAGATTTTTAACCTTGTGCAACCAAAGAATAACATAAAGTAGACATAGTGCAAGCATTTACAATGTTGGTTGTGGTCTAATAAATTTGTGTCGGCGGTTTCCTTGTTTTCCCACCTTCATTCCTTCAAAGAATCGTGATTCATCAAACAATTATTCACAATCATTGTCGGAATTTCCACTGTGATTCTGTGTGTTTCCTCACCTAATGAACAGAAGGGAACAGTTCGATTCTGAGATAAGTCAATAATATTTGTAATATGGTTTTTAATGGTTCAATATTTTTATGGTTTAATGGAAAAAGGTGACCTTGAATATTGACATTTTAAATTGCCTAAGAAGGACTTATTGTTGAACTTGGTAAAAGCTTATATAAACAGACAAGAAACCCCTCATAATACGGCCATAGTGGTTTAACTTTATACGATTCTGCAGCACAAGTCATTTCAGTAATTTCTGAACGAAACTAGGAATTA